CGGCGGCGGCGGCGGGTTGGGCGGCGGCGGCGGCGGCGGCGGCGCGGGCGGGGACGGGGGCGGCGGGAAGGGCGGGGAGAGGGTGAAGGCGCATGATGGTGTAATCGTCATGTAAGCGTTGTTGGTGTAACTCAGGCCGGTGTCCTTCACAATGATGTTCACTTGGTTGTACGCCTGCGCGGGCGCGGGTGACACCGCGGGCCGGCCGACCGGGCATGGGCATGCGGATGATGAGACGTGCGAAGAGGGACGGGTGACAGCTGGGCGGCGTTGCTGGCTCGTTGGACGTGCCCCGGTGCATGTCCCTTCCGATTTCACCCAAAAAAAACATGATAAGATGATTTCCACCATCTGGGTTGCGAGCGGGTCGCCCTCAACATGCGCGCGGCCCTCACGGGCTCCGAAGGGTCACCCGCCACGCGTCACCGCCGGCCCGCTCACCGTGTAACCGGTGATGCCCGCGGCCAGGCACGTGGTCGAGGGGAAGGTGCAGCTGTACTTGAACGTCGTGGTGACACACACTTCCAGGCCAGAGCTGGGCGCGGTTGGGGGCCTGCCCTGGTAGTCACCTGGGTTCAAAGTTTTTGAGAGGGGGGCAGGGTTTAGCCGGCCGTGCGACTGCGTGTTGCAACATCCTGCAATATGAAGAAAAACCATGAGAGGGGCCTTGCTGTGGTATGTGAGGGGCGATTATGATACCAGGTCGTGTGGAGTGGTGAGGCCGGCTGCTGTCCCCTCCTCGGCGGCCGAGTGCGCCGCAACCAGGCGTGATGCGCGATTAGCGGATGACGCTGCGACGGGGCCGAGCCCCAGCAAACCGGGCCCGCCCCTGGCCCGCCGCCCCCTCCCCCCTGCGCGCGCGCCGCCGCCGCCCGGCTGGCGGGCCCCGCCCGCGGGCCCCCGTTGCCGATCGGCCGTCGCGGCGCCCGCGGGCCCTCACTCCCCAACCGCCCGCCTCCCTATCCCGTGCCGCTGGCGCCCCTGCGGGGCCATGCCCCACCCACTCTGGGTGGTCGTGCAGATGACGTTTCCGACGCTGTATGGGGTCGGCCTGTCCGCGCTCGTGGGGAAGTTGAAGGTGTCTGTAACCGACACGCAGCGAGAGGTGGCGCCGGTGGAGATTCCCCAGGCGTCAATTCCAAACGGCAGGAAGCCGCTGGCAGCCGTGACGCCGCCGCCGAAAGTGATCTGGGGGCGGCGCGGCGCGGCGCGCGGGGAGGGCGGCGGGGGGCGTCCGGGGTGTGTGAGGGGTGGCTGCAGGGATTGGGGTGCGGCGGGGGCCGCGGGCGCCGCGGCGTTCGGACGCGCGCCCGACGCGCGGTGCCAGCTGCGAGGGCTGCTGCAGCAAGGGAAGTGCCCGACGCGCCAGCCGCAGGCGCGGCGCCCAGCCATGCGCAGTCTCCCGACCTGCTCTCCCGTCCGCCGCTTCCCTCTTCCTCCCCCTTCCCTCCCTCCCTGCCTCCCGTCCTCCGGCCCATCCACCCCTTGTACGCATCAACTCTTCCTCCCGCCTCTACTCAAGATTCCCTCCTCAACACCCAAACATGACACTCACTACCCCTCAGCCTCCGTCCCCTTAGTCACAATCGCAACCCCCTCAGTCAGACCCTCACCGACGATATCCTCAGCTCCGACGTTAGCTCGGGGTCGTATGCAAACGGCGGCGAAAAAGTGTAGGTGCACCTCGCCGCCGACCCCGGGGCGTTGAGGTTGGCCGTCGCCGCGCCGCCGTCAAAGATGCAGGCCGCCGACGACACGCGCGCGAGGGACGCACCGTAACCGTTGACCTGGTTTGACCGGGATTGACCGAGGGTTTCGGTGGGTCGGGGGCGGCGGGTGGCGCTGTGAGGCGCGCTTGCGGGCGGGTGCGTGTGGCGCAGGGTCGTCGCAGGTGGG